TACAAATCTTAATCCATCATAGTTGATCATTAATTTAGTTAGATGTGATAAATGTATTTTTGTCTCACTGAGAAACTGCTCGATACAATTCAGTATTGTTAGAGACTGAAGTGTCTCTCATCTGCAACTGTGATCGAAAATTAATAACCCTAAGTTTTTTAAGCGAAGGAAAAGACTTCATGTTTGAATGAAATTTTATCGTGTATCGACAACTTTCTAACACGACTGAAGCCTATTGGTGAGAATGTATTGCCAATATATCGAAGATAATCAAACACGAACGGTAAGGAAAAAACATGACATATGACACTATTAACTATGTAATTTAGTATACAGTATACTTGTTGATATCCTATATTAATAAAAGTTTGTTGAATATCTTCGTTCGATGAATAATGAGTTAAATAATGTAGTTCAACTTCAGTATTGATATGAAAAGTAAATTTACAAAGACATGATATGTATATAAGAATTTTATCATTAATTTGAGTACCATCGATAAATGTAGTTCGTTTGTCATTAATAATATCCAACGTTAATTCTTCAAGTATTATCATACGATGAAGAAGAGACAAAATTCGAGTGTCATATTCATCAGTTGGACAACAACATGTTAATGAGAAACAATTCATATTAGATAGATCAGTCGAAAAAAAACCAATCAATATTTGTAAATATATTATTATTGATTATAAAGAAAAAGGTTTCGAAAAATGAATGATTTTTGAAACTTTTCACACACAAAAAATAATCAACTATTAATCTGATAATTCAAATCTTTTAAATTGAAAAAAAAATCATTTAATAAACATATGAACTTATCATATTGTAAATAGATGATATATCATCATCCATCCAATCAATGTCAACAAAAAATCTAGTCAATTGTTTGAGACAACCATCAAGTAAAGCAAGACAATCTTCAAAACGACAAATATCCACACATAATTTGTTAAGATTTAATGACAACCACGTAGCCGAAGCTAAATCATTAATAGATGCAAGTTGAACACGTCCAATAATAGACAAGTGTTTTAGATTTTCAAAAACTTTTTGGAAGTATATCAATGCAAAACCGATCTAGTGTTGAATTAGCAATTGACAAAACATCATCAGTTCTGGTTATTAATGTAAAATTAAGATACTTAGTAAAAGCTTCTTCTCTTACTAGTATATCAAGTCGTTGATTATCAACATCCAATAATGAATAGAGAACATCCATATTGTTTAGTTTTTTTTTAAATAATAAGTTATATTTCATCGGGTAGATCAAGTATATCTTTTTTTATATTCATTTCCGTCATTGAATAAATTGAACGGGTGGACTCATCAAAAAACCAATATATAGCATCGATGAATAGTTCGAAGAATTCTTTAATAAGTATTTTTCCTTTTTCTTCTTATTTACACATCGAGAAATCTTGTATCATAATGCATATTAAAGAAAATATGATAGATATATAAAGAGTATTCTATGATTATCTCATTAAAGATCATTCAACATTCTCATATTAAAATAAAATAAAACTACTGATTTTTATATCGACTAGACTTTCGTATTTTTTCAGATACGATGAGCCGACACCTCGAAAAGATTTTTTTGCAATAAAATACTATTATTAGTTAGCAGATTTAGTAAACAAGATGAAGTAGCTATTAATCTTAAAGTTCAAGGTATATTAGCACAAATCGCTCAAACATCTTCTCAATTCAGAACTCCAGAAGGAAGGAGAGAATGTTATGAACAATGGTGTTATATCTGTTTATCAAGATATTATTAATACATTTGCTATCGATCAATTTGATAAAGGATTTGAAGATCTAACTTTTAATGTCAGTAATGGGTTTAGTTCATTATGATTATCATTATACATGGTCAAATCATGTGAAAAATAGCATTTAGCTAGTTCTGTTAATAAATGTTATATTGATAAAAATGCTTTTGCTTATGATACTGTAATAGTTATTGATGCTTAAAGAAGTTACTAAACGTCACATAATTGAACTATACCACAACGAAAAAATTCAAAGTATTATTTATTCTTGAAAAATAAAGTTTCTGGTTGAGACAATTATTCGATTTGAAATTTATGTCAATAAAGTTGCTTTAGAAGATTAGTTAGCAAGTGGTGATGAAATATACATATATGGAGAAACCTCGATGATAAAGTTTACGGTTGGACTAAGGAAATAATATGTTATGATCTTCAATGAATTTCATATAAAGAATTATGTTTTTTCTTTCATTATTGAATAAAGATTTATCGGCTATAAGCTATAAATATGTAATTTTCATTTCGAAACATTTACAGAGTGCCACTAAAAAAAACCATTACTAATATTTCGTTTTTGAGTTTATTTGTCAATGAATAAAATATACTGAGCAAATAGAGCTGATTTTTGGATAATATTTTTACAACTTATAAGTACAACAATTGAAGAGTCTTTATCACCATTACACATCAATTATGGATGAAGATAGACAATGACTTATCATGAATCGTATAGTCAAAACAGTGTAAAATTATTCGTTTGTTATCTCTTATGAAGGAGCATATTCCACTGTCGAACGCTATTAATTTCATATCATGGCTACAAATAATTCTCGGTGTCATGAAGTCATGCTTAAAAGCAGTCAAAACCCATGGCTGTTTTTATTGAAATTTTTACTAAGAGCAAAACATTTTTGAAGAAACCAATTTTGCCCTAAAATCTCGCTTATAAGCACGTTTGACAGTCATTAGATAGTTCTAAAAGTTTCAACAAAAACAAGTATGTTTGTCTCGAGATATTGAATTTTTAAGTAAACTCGGTTTTTTGTAACATGTCTATGGCAAGTGACTATTTATGTATGAACGACATTCTAATAAACTGATCATAACTCATCGCCAGAAATCCATAAGCACAAACACTTTTAAGATTTTTCCACTTATAATGAGACTTCCGATTAGACTCAATATGAGCTGATATAGTAAGTATCAATTCAGGTTGTTCAATCGTTAGAAATAAAACTGATGATAAAATAATTTTCTTTTCAAACTTCAATCTCATTACCAACATTCATTCAAATTTATTTCTATCACAATTGAATCTGATTTTTTTTTTTACAAAAACATCATTCTGTTTGCTGAATGAACGATATAATTAAATATTAATCATTATCATTGATATTATGATTATCATCTAAATAAAATAAAATGAAAAAAAAAAATAAACAAACAAATTTTTATGATTATAATAAAGTTTTACCAATATTCTTTTGTATTATGTTCATACTAAAGGGTTTAATACCAAGAAAACGAGCATAATCATCTCCATAATAAACAAATAATTCTTCTCCTGGACGAATTGTTCTCATTGTTTTATAGAACATATTTCGATCATATTGAATAGGTTGTAAATTTTGTTGTTCAACTGTATTAGGACCTTGAAGAAAATAAAAAACAATAAGATTGTCAATAAAATTATTTTTCTATTATTCAATACATACAATTAATCTAAATAAAAATACAAAACTATTTCAATGATTGTTTTAGTTTGTTTATATTATTTTGTCAACTTACATATCGCATCCAATTACTATTATTAGGATCACATCCATCAATGATATAAATCATCTTGAAAAAAAAAAAATATATATATATATTTCTATTAATTATACCTTTCCATATTTATCTGCAATACTCCAAGCATAACCTGATTCTTGTGCACTTTTAAAATTTGAATGACGTGTACCCATATAAGGTCCAAAGAAAGTATTTTTTTCAAATCTTTTTGTTGCAAATACACCTTTGCCTGCTTTCAATATAGTTGATGATTTTATAATAATTCCATCTGGACAAGTTAGATCAGATAATCGTTGTGAATGTTTAATTAAAGATTTTGATATCTTAAATGAATAAAAAAAAAATGTATACATCGTTTTTTTTTCTTTTTTTGTTTTAATTAAAATTAACTTTTTTATCAGGAATATAAGATTGTTTATGATATGGACAAATATTATCATAAAATTTATTACAATCATCACAAAATAATCGAGCATCATCAAATTCAGATTTCGAAGATTTTTTCTTTGATTTATTTAATTTTAAATCTGATTCTTTTCGTTTTTTTTGTTGATAATAATTTGAAGTTGAACTTCTTTGATCAGAACGATGTTGTTCATACATATTATTATTATAATAAAGATATGCATTATAAAAAACTAAAAGAGAATTATGATTATTATTGTATTGTTTAATACTATTATCTTGTAAATATAAAGAACTTTTAGAAAACATTATTTAATCGTTTATAATTGCATATCGGTATTGAAAACAAAAACAAAAAAAGCAAAATGCTGAAATGTATATATTTTTAGCGGGTAATAAATTTAGAAAATATCTTTTATATCCAAAAATCTATATGTAATAAACAATCAATTACTGAATAAGTACAAGCCGAAGCTAGTGTCGCTTTAAAAATGAAATATTTCATAATCTCAATAGTAAATAATCGTTTGACAGAAACGTTTTACTTGCACGTCGAAATCAGAGATGTCGAAAGTTCATCGCTATCACACCGCTTCCGCGGAGATGTTCAAGAAATTTTGTTGACTTTGGACCTTATGATTTGTCCGAACGGGAATAGCTTCTAGTAGTTGGTCAAATTTGTTGAGTCTTGCCCGAGATTCCTTGAAAATTCTCGAGTTTTAAAAATTTCTTCCTAAGAAATCGACCGCCTCCGCACCGCCATGGACGTCTCTGGTCGAAATGTACAGATGATGAATACTTTGAGTTTTACTAGATAAATACTCTAAATACAAAGAAAATCATGACTAGAGATTAATCTTAGTCTAGAGTCCTGTTGTCTTTTTAAATATTACAAACTAGTTAAATAAGTTTATTTTTTTTAGGAGAGATGCTACAATCGTCTTCAGATTCTTAATAATCTTTCTTTTTGAACTAATGATATGGAAAACTTTATTTACGCCCTCAAAACTCAATACTAAAAAATTCAACAATAAGAAACCTTTTAAGTTTCAGGACATGTATACATTGAAAAAAAGTTTCTACAAAAAAATTAAGCTCTTTAATATCTAGACAACATTCCTACATCACTGGACAATAGCGTCGATTCAAAATCTTTTTTTTTATCTAGTAGTATCAATTTCACCAATATTTATAATGCAAAATAGTAGACAAGTAAGAAAAGAACACTTGATATATTCGACAACGTTTTAAGGGTATATTGATTAAAATAATACGCCATCTATTGAATCCTCATACTGGTGGTAATATGTAAAACCAAAGAACACTTAATGGATGAGTGAATGACTGATTTAATCATGTTCCTTTTCTTTCTTTCAATGCTTCGAGAAAGTGTTCATAACTATATATATATATATAAATATAAATATTTTTAGAATACTTGAATACCTTTCTTTTCTTTTTTTTTAAATATAAAAATTTTTCTTTTTTTGTTTGATTTCATAAAAAAAAAAGAAAATGACTCGTCGATTCCATACATTTACAATTTTTATAACAAGCACAACAATAGCAACAGCAGCCGCCGCAACATTTGGTCTGACACGTTTGATTTATCGACGACAAGAGAATTCTTCAAATGAAAATAATACAACTAAACTATCATCCATAGTACTTGAATCAAAACATGATTTAATTGATAATAATTTATCAAATAAAAATAATAATGTATATATACCAATTGAATCAACTAATGCTGTTATAACTGCAATTTATCAACAAGCTTTACATTATATAAAATTAACACATTCAACAAGTACTCATATATATGAACATGGTCTTAGTCATTTAGCTAAATTAAATAATTTACCTTCAATTTATTATTCAATTATTGGTCAACAACTTGATTATCATTCAGCTATAAAATTAGCACGAACATATGAAGCTAATTCAAATTTATTTCCTATTGGTCCACCATATATATTTTCAATTGGAAATAAAAAAATACTTTCTACTGGTAATATAGATAATGTTAATGATGATGATGTACTTTTACATACAATAAAACAATTTCTTGATAAATTAATTAATGAAAAAAAACGTCCATTAGATATATTAAGTCAATATTATCTTAAATTAGTAAGTAAAATAGAATGAAATAAAAAAATTAATATGAAATTCAAAAACAAGAATTGTTTTTTTTTTATTCGAAAGTTTGCATACAGAGAAGTCTTACAACATACTAGAATATTCTAAAAGTTTATCTTTCAACATATATCTTTGTTTAAATGATATATGAACTCAAAACTTTCCTAGTTTTACTAAGAAAAAAATCTAGAATGATTCATCGTTTTTGATATAAAATGTTGCGCTCTACATCATGTAGAAAAAATTCAAAAGTATGACTATAAATCTATACCAGAGATGGACAAAGTCGCACCGCGCCTACGCTACACTAGTCTGAGCTTCGATGACCGCATGCTTAGAGCATCCCGGTATTCAGTGGAGTTTGAGAAACTGATTGGTAGAGCAAAGAGAAACAGAGATGTGCGTAGCGCCTAGGCGCGGGGAGGCGCGGTGCAATTTTATCCATCTCTGATCTATACATTTCAATTTAATGATAATTTATTATTTCGAAATTTTCTTTATAATATTGATATTTATTGATTAAATAGTTACAATCCTATATGGATGATATTCATTCTCAAACTGTATTTGATCTTGTTCATCATTTTGAAGCTGAACATGCTGATATATCATCAAAAGCAATAAAACGTTATCGATCAAATCTTGAACTTTATTCAATGTTTCTTTATGCACTTCGTGGTTATGCTGATCGTTATCCACTTGATGTTATAAATTTTAATGGTTTACAAATATTAAAATATTTATATGAAAAACGAAAAGAAAATATACCATTTATAAGATTTCTTGGAAAAATTCTTTTATTACTTAGTCGTGATCAACGAACACATGATGCATTCTATGCCGTTGGTTTGAAAAAAAAAAAAATTTTTTTTTTTTCTATTTAAAATAATTCTTATTATATTATATTAATTATAGGTTGGGTTAGAATTCTTCATGATATGGCATTAGATAAGAATAATATTATTTATTCATTATTGGCTTCAACTATTTTAGCAAATCTTGATCGACCTATACATGATAAGTATGTAGATTATTTATATCAATAGTATATTTATAATATATATTAGAGAAAATCTACTGTTTTACTAAAAATCACTAGAATAATGCTTTCCGAAACAAAAAAAATTGGGTAAATCCGTGGAGTTTCTACGACAATTTGGAAAATTTTTTTTGTTTTTCGATTTTGATATTCTAGTTAGACGTAACATCGTTAGAGATAATAGTAAAAACTTATTTTGATACATAAAGTTTAGAGATTCAGATCATTTTTTAGGAACAACTCAATGTATTTGTAATTGAATATGTTGAGAGTCTCAACTATGTTGTAAAATAATGAAATTTTCAACGTTTGTAGAGCTTTTAATTCTAAATAGATTGATAAAAAAAAAAATTTTCCGAAAATCTTTTATTTTATAGGAAATAGATTGAAAATACTATAAGTAGTGAAAGAAACTAAACAACAATTTGTCAAAATTTCGCAAAAAATCGTTTTTTGGTTTTTCACTGCTCACATTGTTCTAAGTCTATTTCTGACAAAATAAAAACTGTTTGAAAAAAAATTTTTTTTATCAAAATACTTAGAATTAAAAACTCTACAAACGTTGAAAATTTCATCATTTTACAATGTAGTTCAGACTCTCAACATATTCAATTACAAATACATTGAGTTGTTCCTAAAAAATGATCTGGATCTCTAAACTTTATGTATCAAAATCGAAAAAAAAAAACTTTTTCTACAAAAGTGATAGAAAACCTCACGGATTCACTTATTTCTTTTTGAATTTTTACAAAAAAAATTATTCAGCACATATATATATTATTACAAATCAAACAATAATCATAAGACTAGTACTCTCGATTGATCAATCATTACATATTGAAAGCGATGATTCTAAATGAAATTTTTTTTAATAGGATTCTAAAATAATCATATTTAAAAGAAAACAAAACAATTTTTTTTTTTTTTTTTTTTTTAGCACATTAATAGATGAAGAAAAAATTTCCATTAATAAAAACATAAAAACGTTACATCTATCGTCAGAAATTAGTAATCATGAATTAATTGAAGCGGAACAAAAATCAGAAGAAAGAAAAGAAATTTTATATGAAAAAAATCAATCATTATCAAAACAATCAAATCTTATCGATAAATTTATACATCATATATGGTATACAAGACCAGTTTCTGATGAAGATGATGATATAAATGAAAATAATAAAACTATTGATGATCATATTGAAAAGAAAATTTCTGCACCAGATATTGATACAACTCATCAAATAACTGATAATAAAAAAATAATAGAACAACATGAATTATCTTCTATTCCATCATGGTTTAATGATCAAGTATATGGTGATAAAGTAAGTCTATTAAAAATTTTTTCCATAATTATAGTTAAATCTTATCATTATCCAATCGTATCTTTTTAAAGGTAATATGTTTATTATATAGTTTAAGACTAAATTGAAATTAATGTATCAAAATTAGCTGTCCGATAGTATTTATATTTCATTGTGCAGATATATATCGAGGAAAGAGAGCGAAAAAACTATGAAAAAGTTGAGTAATCATTTTTTAATATTTACCCTTGATAATTAATGATCAACAAAAAGAAAAAGTATTCTTCTTGTTTTATTGAAAAAATTTCGTTTTTATTTTCTCAAGATTATTCTATTCAGTCCAACAATGTATAATATTCAACAAATAGATCCTAATGTACGTTGGCATCAAGAACCAATTATTGATATTATTTTTGTAAGTTATATATATATATTTTCTAAACATATGTATATTTTTTTCTTGACATTAGTTTCATGGTTTAGCTGGTTCAGCTTTTAAAACATGGCGACAAGAAGTTGAACAATCATTAGAAAATAAAACATTACCAATAACTGATGAATCTCCTATAGAAGAAGAAGAAGAAGAAGAAAATGATGAAGTATTAGAAGTTCGTGAAGAAACAAATTGGAATAAAACAAAAATTGATATACCATCACATTCTATATTACAAATTAATGAAAATCAACCATCATCATGTTGGCCAAAAGATTGGTTAAGTAAAGATATTTCAACATCACATATACGTATGTTAGCTGTTGATTATGAATCAATTGTTTCTGAATGGCAAATACGTTCATTACCAAGAAATATTATACGACGATCAATGTATGATCGTGCAAAAGAAATTGCTGAACAATTAAAACAAGCTGGAGTTGGAAAACGACCAATTATATGGGTAAAATTTAATACAAAAAAAAATTTTTGTACTATTTTTTTTTGTATTTTAAGGTTGCACATTCAATGGGTGGTTTATTAACAAAATATATTTTAACAAATGAAGAAAATCAAGATATAATATCAAATACTCGTGCTTGTATTTTTTTTTCAGTACCACATTTTGGTGCTGAATTAGGTTTGTTTTAATTAATTTTTTAGTAAAATACGAAATTGTTGCATTTTTCATGACCTTTTCTTCTAAAAATTATAAGCAAAAAATTCGTCATTCTTTTTCATTTTATCTGATAATCATATCTTTATAAGAGAAGGTTGGTCATAGAAAATGTGTGTATAGTATTTGAAAACTATCGTATTTAGTTTCTCAGAAATCCTTTTTTTTTTGCTCCAAAAAAATTTCGTTATAGAATATATTTAATTAGATAACTCTACAAATTTGAGTTCAATACAATCTATAATCTTTTATTAAAACTATTAATCGTTATTCTAGAAAAGAATAAGTTTATGTTATTATTTATCTTTGAATGATAAGAATGCATTTGTAAAGATTAAATTTTATATCGTATATATATGAAATTGTTTGCATATTTAAATAGTTATTAGTTTGAATATATATATATTGTAATATTCATAAATAGTATTGAATTAAATATTAAAATATTGTTTATATATAATGTTTTAGTATTATAAAAAATAAAAGACTATGTGACATTTGTAGATTATTTTTGATGTATTATCGCTCCTTGATTTCAATGATTGTTTATACGTAACGTTTCAATCTTTCCTTGTCATTCAATGTATCGTTTACTTCTTTTCTCCTTATATTTACATTATCTTCCTGTTTAACTTTCTTTTTTCTTTCTTTACGCAAGAACGAACAAAAACTATCTTTTTCATCTCTAAAAATCATTTTTTTGTAGTATCATCATAAAACATTGCTCTTTTCTATAGGGTTTCTAAAGAAAAAAAAAAACGCTCCGGTATAGTATCCTTGTCATCAGAATTCTTAATAATTTAGTTTAAAAGCCAATGAAAATAGTTCACTTATGTACGAAGTATTTCAATAAGATCAAATTTTATATGATATAGCAATTCAAAATAGATGTTAACGTTTGTTCAGTCTGTCAGAATCTCACTCATTTCAAGGTTTTCACTTGCGTATAAACATTGTAATTCGAACACAATGGAAAATTTGGGTTACATGAATTTTCGGCCCAGGCCCAAATTCACCTCGTCAATCCCTTAAAAAAAGCTATATTTCTACAACTAGTTAGTACACTTCGTAGTGTTGAGCATTAAGTCTTTCTGCTCACTACTACAGAATGTGCTAACTATTCATTGAAGTTGGAATTTTTTTTAACATTTGAAATTTCAGAATTTTTGTTTATATTGTGTTTATAGTCGATCGATTAAATATTTTACTAAGCAATAAAGAGAATTTTTTATTGATTATTTTTAATTTTATTAGCATCATTTGGTATTCGTCATGCATTTATTGTTCGACCAACAGTTGAAATTGAAGAATTAGAACCAAATAGTAAAAATCTTCTTAATTTACATGAAAAATTTCTTGATATACTTAAAACTCATGATAATATAAAAATTTTAAGTTTTGCTGAAAATGAAAAAACAACATTTTCATTACGTTATCAAACTGTTGTTGTAACATCTGAAAGTTCACAAATAAATATTGGAAAATTTTTTATATTAAATAAAAATCATATTTATGTATGTAAACCAAATTCAAAAAATACTCTTGAATATCAAGAATTACTTGATCTTATACAAACAATTTATTATCAACGTAAAAATGAACTTAAAACTGAACAAATTAAATTAACAGAAGATCTTCTTAATAATTTATATACATATTCATCACCTATAGAAGATGATACACAATAAATTTTGTACTGTTAGTTATAGCTCTTTTTTTGTTTCTTCCCATTATTTGTTTATATATTCGAATGATGAATATATGTATTTATTTTTTTTGTAGAAATTTTTATATTCAAGCTTTACTTTTTTTTAGATCATATTTACAAATATGCAAACTTAAATCAATTTGAAAAATATCTATTGATGAAATCTATATGTTATTAAAATTAGTTATGTCGATTCATTAAGATGGTATATTAGAAATTTTGTTTTATTAATAGAATATGCAGGTAAAATATTAAATCGATAATGAATTAAAAAATTGAAAATGATTACTCAAGATGCTTGGACAACCTTTCGCAACTGAAAAATATCAAATAACAAATCTTTTTTTTTGAAGCAAACAAAAATTTCTCGCAGTTGGACATCTCCTTGAAGAATTATTTACGGCGAGTTTGAAAGAAACTGTTTTGCAATGATTTTGTTACTTTCTTATGAAAACTTCTTTTTTTTTTAATATTAGCTAGAGATTGAAATGATTGTATTTAGGCAGTGATTGATTAATATTAAGAAAATGTTTTTTTTTATAATATATATACAGCAGTTTTTAAGTAAATAATCAAGCATCGTGAATGTAACTTTTTAGTCGAAGTTTCACGACTTTCAACTCATAGTAACGCGAGTCAGAGGTCAATGAGTATGTTTTCCGTAGTAACGGAAAAAAAAGGCACAGGTATGAATATGTCCTAGTCATCATATGAAGCATGAAATAATCACGTTATTATTGTAAGAAGTAATCTTTATCAGTGCTTTGGACCGCATCGAGATATAGAATAGTGTGTTGAGATCTAATGTAGATATAATGGATCTGTATAACATGATTATTTATCAGTTAAATCAATGGTTAGAATAATAATAATAATTGATAGATATTTTTCATTTGACATTTTTTTTTTCTATATGTGAGTTTCACATTTTAGCTTAACACAGACTATATCATTTGATTCATGAGAAAAACTATATTATCTCAAGATGATTATTTCGACAGTTGAAAACGATTATAAAATAACGATTACAATCATCATTTCTTTCTGAAAGCTTTTTATATTATTAAGGAAATGAATAAAATAAATTTGTCAGATAAGAATAATTATAATCTTTTCATTGAAAATGAAAATATTTATTATTTATTAATATACAAATTTTTATCTAGAATATTTGGATCATCATCAATTTATTTAACTGAATTAACATTTTGGTTATCAAATATTGGTTTTAGTTGGTTTCTATATAAAAATAAACATCTATTAAAATTTTCAATTAAAAAACGTTTAACATATTCAGTATTTCTTTCAACAATTTTTAATTTTGGTACAATTATGATTATTAATTATATAAATCATTTTTTTGGTCGAATTGAATTATTAAAACTTATATCTAATTTAATATTATCGAGTTGTTTATTATCAATTGGTTATATTTATCTCGATGATTTTTCGAATAATACGATTTAAATAATTATTTTTCTTCTAGATTTTATTCAATAAGAATGAGTAATAGTTCCTATACATTATTGAATAATTCTACTGATAAACTTAATGTTGAAATACCAGTTAAAGAATCATCATCATCATCACAAACTTCATCTACAACGAATACGACAAATGATGAAACGCTCAATAAACGTTATATGCAAATAGCAATTGCTGTTATACTCTATTGGTATAAATGGATATTAATTTAATTTTTCTTTTGTCTATACAAAATTCTTATTTAGGTGTGTTTCAATTTCTATGGTATTTTTGAATAAATATTTGCTAAGTTCAACCGATGTGAAAGTAAAAAAAATTTGTGTTCATTAGTTTAGTTTATTTATTTATTATTGTATAATAGTTAGATGCACCACTTTTTATAACATGGTATCAATGTGTTGTAACAGTTGGTATTTGTGCTATACTTGGAAATTTAAATAAACGTATAGCTGCTTTTTCAACATTTCCTTCATTTAAAATTGATCTTAAAATTGCACGTGATGTTAGTAAAAAAAAAAAAGAAAAATTTTGTATCTAAAAAAAAACGAATAAAAAGATATTTCTTTAGGTTCTTCCACTTTCAGTAATGTTTGTTGCTATGATAATATTTAATAATTTAACTTTAAAATATTTAACTGTATCATTTTATATGGTTGGTAGATCATTAACGACTGTTGCTAATGTGGTATGTTATCAGATTAGAAAATATAATTAATTGAGATTTTTTGTTTTTTTTTCTATTTAAGGTTTTTACATATTTTATGCTTGGTGATAGAACATCATATAGAGCTTTAGGTTGTTGTTGTCTTATCATTGCTGGATTTTTTCTGGGTATTGATCAAGAAAATGCATTAGGTAAGATAATTATATTCATAGTAAATATTAAAAGTAGAATATAGTTTAGTTTAGAATGAAATTTGAAAACATTATTTACAAGTGAATAATATATGAAATCTATAATCATTATATTTAGTTCTTTAAAATTTTCAATTCAAAATTCTAAAAACTAAGTCTTTCATAATGTAAATATTCTAATTGAAGTTCCTATTTTTTGAAAAAATCAATTAATTAGAGCCGAATTTTATTTCTTTTTTGCAAGGAAGATTTCTAAAAAACAATCTGATTTTATACTCCTTACCATTAGTAACAATCAAGAATCTTTATTAAGCTAAATCTTACAAGAAGTGCACTAACATCTTTTCAAAAAAAAAAAAAAACAAACTAAGCATCGATTTACTCTTTTTCTTTGTTTTAATTCATTGAATATAACATATATTCTATTTTTGTAGGTACTCTTTCAGTATTCGGTGCATTTTGTGGTGTAGCATCAAGTATATTTGTAGCATTAAATGCTATATATACAACACGATGTTTACCATGTGTTGATAAAAATGTTTGGCGTTTATGTTTATATAATAATTTTAATGCTTGTATTTTATTTCTTCCATTAATGGCTATATTTGGTGAAATACCAATTGTTTTTAATTATACAAAATTATTCAATATATCATTTATATTTCCAATGACTATTGCTGGTATACTTGGTTTTTCAATGGGTTATGTAACAGGTTATCAAATAAAAATGACAAGTCCATTAACACATAATGTATCTGGTACAGCAAAATCTTATGTACAAACATTACTTGCTGTTGTTATTTATTCAGAAGTAAGAATATGAGAGAAAAGCAAAAAAGAAAAATGATAAAATGTTTTGTTTTAATTGTAGACAAAAACAACACTTTGGTGGATATCAAATCTATTTGTTCTTGGTGGATCTGGTCTATTTGCACATGTTCGAGCAATAGAAATGAAACGAAATCATAATTCAAATAAAACGACTGATGATAATACAAATGTGTCTTTACCGAAATAATTAAATTCCACGAAAAAAAAAATAAATAAGATATTTGACTTTGGATTTTGTTAAAGAATCTCGATGAGCTATTGTTTTTATTAAGAAAATGAGAAAATAGTTCTTTTTTTTTTCTTTTTTGATTAATCATTTTCTTTTCCGTTATTTTATTAACATTAAGCTATTCTACTGTGATCATTTATTCTCGTATTGATTCATTTTTGTTTGTATTCGATAAACAAAACAAAAAAAAAGCCAACAGAAATTTATTTATCTTATTCACTTTTAGACTTTGAATATTAAATAAAATTTATAAAAATAAAATTAAAGTATCTTGTTTGTTGTCTAGAATAAAAAAAAAACCAATTGAAGATATGTTTAAAAATAATATATTTTGATCTATATTTTTTTTTGTTTTATATAAATAAAATCTATGAAAACATGTTAACATGAGAGAGAAAAACATGATTCACACACATTTTGACTTTTTTCGTCCGATAAAATAAACTCCACGTTCAAAACAAGGTGAATATAATTGTCGTCTTGTTCGATTAAAATTAATATAAAGTGTATCAAATTGATTAAGAAATTTATCAATAATCCATTTAGTTATTCGTATTGGATGTAAAATTTCAGCATCTTGAAGTACACAATCACCTTGTTGTGGATAATCAAACCATCGTTCATGAAATATAATTAAACCATTATCTTCTAATAAATCATATAAACCACGAAAATATTCTAATGCATTATTAACATGTTCAACAACATTAATTGATATTAATGCTGAATAATATTTTAAATATAATTCTTTTTGACGACGTTTTTTCATTAATATTTCAATTGATTCAGCTATTATTGATATTGGATATCCACGTAGATGACCACCACGATATGCACAATTATTTAATTTCATATAATCTAATGCATTTGGTTCAATAATTGTTATTTGTTTAATTAAACGAAATGGTGTTAATAAATATTGTATTTGTGTAAATGGACCAGCACCTATTTCAATAATTGAATTTATTTTTAATGGAACTATTTTATAACCATGAAAACCTTCAACATGTTCATAAAGACGATCATCAATTGTCATTGGATTTTCTTTCCAATAAATAAGTTCATTATTAAGTGATTTATACCATAATATTGATGGTATTTGTGTTATACCAGTTAAACGATGATAAAAACATAGAAATAAACAAGATGTATTCCATTCTTGTTGTGCAAATTTTGATTTTAAACATTTTTCTTTTGTTTTTTTAATTAGAGAATAAGTCCATTGAATTTTATATATATCTATTGGACAATGAGATCGATAAGTCTAAAATAAATTAGAATTTTCTTTATGTTATGTTTTTTTTTTGTAATAAAAATCGACAGGACGATACACACATTCAGAAACTAAGAAGAAAAAAATATTTATAAATCTTTCAAAATAGTTTTCTCTTCTTTAATAATTTTATTTCTTCAATTAGTTTTCTATAAGTATTTTATTCTGTCACTCAAAAACACAACTATCAGTTAGTTTTGTAAAACAAAAAAGTCAAAAACTATGACTATCACAACATGAATTAGCATATAGATTTTTTGTTTTGTTTTTGATATACCTCATTTTTTAATTCTATTTCACATTGATTTCCAATAAATCCTGGATAACAAACAGGTTGATCGAAAAAACATTCACCATGATTAAAAATTACTAATGATGATTTTGAACAATAACATTTAGATTGTAATGAAGTTAAATATGTTGTTTTAACATCATCTGAATTTAAAATATGAATTAAAAGAAAAAATCCAATTAATGAAGTAAATAAAAGTCCAAAAGTAACTATAATAGTTGAAATTTTTTGTTGTTGTCGTCGGCGGCGGCACCATTGTCGACTAAATAGTTGCCACATTCGATAGCATTTCATTTTCTGTTTTAATTCCATCGATAATGATTACATCTTTTTTTTTTTCTTTTACAATTGAATTCCAGCTGAGATCAAGAATGAGACAAAAAAAAAACGAAATTCTTAAGTTTAAATTGTATAGAAATTTTAATAGATTTTGTTTTTATTTCTAAAATGAATCTGATATATCAATTCATTTTTTTAGTTTGAAAAATTTTTCTTCTATTTGAAACATTTGTTTTTTCTTTTATAATTATGTTAGTTTTTAAATTCTATATTGCATAGCAAATATCAAAAGAAAAAAGTATTATATCAAAGATGTTCCAAAAAAAAGTCGATAAAATTTAGGATACTTGTGAAAATGAACTTAGAATCAAATGTTTAGTCTATTGAAAAAATTTTGCTGATGACCATAACAACATGAAGGAATTATGAATAGAATTTTTTTCAATCAACAATCTACAGTCATTGATTCTTTTTTGACAGTATTGGTTTCATAAAATCTCTGAAATATTCATATTTTTCGGAAATATATTGTATCAAACTTTGATAAATATGTAATTAAATTCTAAAAAATAAATATAGTTAAATCTCTTGAATTATTAAGAAACTTTTCGCGTTTTTGTAATATAATTAATATACGAAAAAAAAGTATTGAATCCTTTCATTAAAACTTAATTTATTTATGGTATGAATTGAAGTTTAGCAATTAAACTTCGATCATTAAATAAATAAAAATAATCATCCTGATAATTGATTATATTATTTATAAAGATTTTCATTAAGAAACTTCACAATTGAAATTAATATTTAAAAGAATGTAAAATTTATTATTAAATAGAAGACAAGATACTTGTATAAAAACTTATTACAGATGTCATTAAACAAAGTTATTGTTATTATTGATGCTGGTTTAGTTCGTCATATATCAAATAATGCTAAAAATGATTATTGTTCAACATTTGTTATTTCAACTGATGTTATAAAACGTGAAAATATTGAAAAAATTTTTCAAGAAACGAAATTAAAATTTAATACAATTGCTTGTTAGATAAATAATGTTGGTTTGGGTATATCACGATCAATATTTGATTTAACTGATGATGATATTGATATAATGATTCGTTTTAATGTTAAAACAGCATTATATGGAATACAAATAGTTATACCATATTTTCGTCAACAAGGTTATGGTCATTTAATAAATATATCATCTATTCTTGGACAAATATCTTATACAACATTTCGTTCAATGTATAGTGCATCAAAGGCTGCTCTTAATTCATTAATAACAAATCTTCGTATGGAATTACAAACGGATCCGTGTTGTGAAAAAATTCATGTAACAACAATTCTATCTGGTATGGTAAAAACTAATTTTGCAATAAATGTAGTTGGTAATTGTGCACCGAAATCATTAATTGATTATAAAATTCCATTTATTGGACCTTTTCCTCGAACTTCTCAAAGTATTGATGATGTTTGTAAAATTATTTGTAATGTAATTAATGATGAAAATCAACCAAGAGAAGTTTATACAAACCCAGAACATGAACCATTGATTAAACAATATTTTGAAAATGTGGGCAATTTTGAAATTCTTCTTAAACCATCAACTTAATGTAAATTACAAAATAATAACGCTTATTAGATTAATACTGAAATTGATTTTATCTTATTAAGATTTTCATACATGAAAATTTTCTATTTAGTTTGTATGAAATTATTTATATGTTGACAAGAACTCTTGAGATTACAAAAATAATGTAGAAATGATCCGATGAAATTTTTACCAAATAGACAGAGAAAAAGAGACATCTAATTATACGATAGTTTATCAGATTCCAAAGTCAAATGCTAGAATGTAATGAGATGACCTCAACTCATAGAATCCTATCAATACAGGTCTCAAATCAAAGTATCATAGTAAATGCATTTTAACGTATCTATATTAAGATTGATAGCAGCTGATCGCAATATAAGTCCAGACCGATCCTTTCGACTTGCGAAAACATTCAAAAGCTCGGTCAGCTACTATTAGCATTCTAGTAGATACAACAAATTCGTTGATGCATTGTCCGAAGTTAAGGACTAATGTGAAACCCTTCTATTTCCTTATTGCAATTTAATATATTCTAAAACAGTTTTATTTATTTTCATATTTTAATTTCATGAAAAATATTCTGCTTCAATGAATTCAATTTTTTTTTCATCCTAATGAATGAAGCGACCTCTGCATATGACTTAGTTAGGTTTTCTTCATTGTTGGATCATATACTTAGTAATTTCAAAATGTTTTGAAATCTTTTTTTTTATGATCAGTAAATTACCTCTCAGTGAAATATATAATACACAGAGAGCATAGAAATCGTAAAATGTCTTGAGTTCTTGTACTGAAATTTTCAACAACAACAAAAATTTTACTATTCTTTTTTTTTTTTTGCTGTTCTGTTTCTTCTTGTGGACTTTTGTTTTTTCTATTTAAGCAACATCATTTCTCATCATAAGTTTTCTTCCTACTTGATTGTAGCAATGACTGACACAACCAGTAATAAGAAAAATAATGGTGGCGATGATAATGAAATACCTAACAGGTGTGTAAAGCATTTTGTTTATTTCAAAGTCCATTTTTATTCAGAGTAGTACTTCAATATTTAGGATTGTGTTGTGATGACTCATCTTGTTTATCAGCATTGACGCATATAATTTTTTTTTATGCTTGAAATAAGAGTTTTACACAATTGCATGTAAAAAGTATAGTTGGATAACATGTACTCTATTAATAAACAAATCTATTCTGTTATCCATTTTAAAATAGAATATACTTCACTGATTTTTGAACAAATTTTGATGAGAACAGCACAGAGACCTTACATTTTCACTATTCTCAAGAGAGAAGATCCTATGCCATCAAAATTATATCGAATTCTCATAGCTTTCAATTCAGACTTTGAATAGGACTGCTCGAAAGAATAGAATCCTTCTCTGTCGATCTGCACAAGACAGTCGTTTCTAACATTCTCCATTCGAGAGTTATAAGGTTTTGCCTGACATCTTCGATTGTAATCTATTGATCTGTAACCACTCGAAAAAATCAACTAGGCAAGAATAATTTACGATGCATCCAAAGGCAAAAAACTTGAGGATATCGTTTTCAAAAATCTCCATTAAGGATTTACCTAAATGATCTATAATGTTTCTATCAAAAGTTATTGAGAGAAAATAATGAAGCATATTATATTTTGAAATGAATAATAGTTTCTTAATTAGTTCTAGAATTGTAACTAAGAATGGGAAATAATATTTTCCGTCGAAGACATGGAATAGTTGGTGTGAAAAACAGGTATAGAATAATTTTTTATTCATTCTTCAAATCAAAAGAAAAAAAAAACTTATTGAAGATTGAATAAATATTTTGTTAAAGGAAGTCAGTTTTCAAAGAAAAACTTGAAGATTATTGTTTTTACATTTATTAATAGATTACTTTAAAATAATAGTTTTAGTTTATCAATCTCATTTGTTAACATTATTCTTAAGATTGACATAATAAATATAAATATCGATTCATCATTGTCATGAAGGGTTGACCATTTATTTTTTCTTTTAGTAAATCTGAGAAAACCACTAATTCGGAACCTTCCAGCAATAATAATGAGACAACAGAAACGACTGAAAAACCGACTAATGTTAATAAACCTATTGATTCTCATGTGTCAGAAGGAAACAATGACGTGATTAAATCTTCTAATTCTGATGAAACTGAAGGAAATAATGAAGCGAATGAACCTTCTAATGATCAACAAACTGACAAAACAGTTGAATCACAGATATCCGTCGATCATAATAAAGTTGAAAGAAAGAATGATGTAAACACATCCTCCGGTCACAACGAACCTGAAGAAACGAACGAATCGACTATACCTTCTAATAGCAGTCGAGTAGAGGAAACGAATAATTCAGTTTCATCCCATGATCCCAATGAAGAGGTAAAAATAAATCAAGAAAATACAACCTCTAGACATAATGATCTCAAAAGAAAGGTTGATTCAGTGGCTAGTTCGTCCAATTTTAATGAAAGTAATAAATCCGGTAGTTCAAACATATCTTACAGTGAAGATGAACCTGATTTGCTTGAACCCGTATTAAAAATAGAAAAAACTCAAAATTTAATTAATCGTCTTCTTGGTTGTGCTTATGGACAAGCTCTTGGTGATGCATATGGTCTATCTACTGAATTTGAAAATCGCGATGATGTTGCAAATAAATATCCAGATCGTTCAACGATAATTCCGTTTCCAGGTTATATCCTCACTGGACATAATAGACGATGGAAAAGAGGTGATTGGACAGATGATACAGATCAATGGATATTAATTCTAGAAACATTAACAGAAACTAATAATGATGAACCTGAAGAGATAGTTTTTGCTAAAAAGTTAAAGAATTGGATTCGACATGGATATTCAGAATTGGAGGATTATGGTGGAATGGGATTAGGTGCCAATGTATCGCAGGTAAGTCTATTATTGTCTGTAGTTCTTCAATGAGATAGATAGAGGAAAATTATTATTAAATTGAAATAAAAGAATATTTGAGAAAAAGGAAAAAAACAATGAATTTTTCTTTGTAACAATGGTAAAAAACTTTAAATATTGAATACTTTCAATGTTTTAGAATTTATAGTTATTTATTTTTTCAATAGGTTGTTCATTTTCATGATTATGTTAACGATCCACTCACAGCAAGTAAAACAGTATGGGAACGTGGTAATCGTCAAGCAGCACCAAATGGAGCTGTTATGCGTTGTTCAGCATCGGCATTTGTTCATTTTAACGAT